CTCCATGGCATTGCACGCGATCCGTGAATCCAGGCTGAGACTCCCCTTCGGCAGCTCCAGGCGGAGGAGCTCCATCAGCAGCATTAGGGCCGTGGTGGAATGACTCAGGATCAAAACGCGACGATGTCCTGTGCCTTCTGCTCGCTCTGCAGGAAGTACTTGCAGTCACCGCAGTCTGGTGCTGCAGCGGGCCCGGGGCGCGGTGAGAATCACGAGCACCTCGAGCCGAACCGGCTACGGCGGTAAGCAACGTTCAGCGACATGCAATCGCAACGTCCGGGGGCCGACAGAAGCAGGAACGCAGCGCCAGGGGACTGACGTAAAAAGCAAGTAAGCAAAGGCCTCCTGCCTCCCCATCCACCCAACCGTGCGCCCGTGCTCAAGATTCTGGAATTTGAAAGCGATCGGCAAAGCCCGCGTCACCCACGCAGGCTTGATATCTGGAACGACCCCAAAATATTCCTCACAGATGCTCCTACTAAGCTGGGTCTAAGAGATCACGACAGACCCGGAGGATCCCAGTCCTGGCCCAAATCCCGTGGTAAGGAACTCGGAACCAAACGTCCCTAGTTGGACGCCTGGCGCGCTGAGCCTGGCTTGCGTTGCGCTGGGGGGGTCCGTTCGTTTAGATGGCGGAGGTATGTTTCTGGACAGCCATGCTGTCGCAATCTCGCGGCGAGCACGACTCTAGCCTGTTGTCCGACCGCGTCGTCGGACGGGTGCCTCCAGAGGCGCGCCACTTCCGCAACGGGCCAAGAAGCGTAGGTCCCATGGGGGGCTCCGAGAGAGACTGGAGTGAGGGATGCCTAATGAGGTGGACTTCCAAATCGGTTTGTAGTCTAGATGTCCTATTCAGTGAAAGCGGTCATCTTTATATGCGCGTGTGTCTAGCATGTCGACGCCGCGCGCTGAGCATGACTCAAACTTACATTTAAAGCATGAGGAAGTCTGCACTAGCCACCGGTGTGCGTGACAATGCGGTTCGATGCTCCGCTCGGCCACCATGATAATGTCGTCATTGAAACGGGCGTAGAGGAGGTAGCCGCGCTGAGACATCCATATCGCACTGTCGACCTCGCCCACCTCCGGGGTGCAATGGAGACCCGCGTCAGAGAGCTCCCCCGAATGGTTCATGCCCATGCAAGATCTGATTTTACCTTCCAAATTCTGGCTTGGAGGTATTTGCTGTTCACAAACCGGTGGTTCAGTAAGAACGATGTTGCGTAGGTCACTGTCGTTTTCAAATGCGCCTTTGCAACCTCCCCAGCGCTATCCACGAGCACCTCCTCCGCGCCTGACATGAAGAAGTCCTTTACATCACATATCAAGAGAAAGGCGCCGGGAGGGAACGCGTGCGTGTTCAGGAGTTGGATGAGGTCTTCCGCGCTGGATCTAATGCGGGGTTTACCTTGCAGGCATTTCCGAAGACTGCTAGAATGTCAATTCCCGAAGCCTGAGATGGCACGATGCCGCTTCCTATGCAAAATGAGCAACGCGGCATCGCCTGCTTCTTTATGAGCTTTGAGTGTTTCCCCCGCGTCATCGATTGTTCTCGGAAGACCGCCCTCCAAGCTCTGCGGTGCCGATGAGGCCTGTGTCCACGTCATTCTCCCGAATGGCTGCCACAACGTGCTGGTTTTCCTTGCAAATTGCATACCAAATCGCTGATCATGGAAATATGTATTCATGCGCTGCTCTCCCAAGCGCTTGTTCGTGTATATCAACCATGGCGCATTTGGGAACCAACGCGGAACCTCCGCCCTTGTCCGTGAGGATGGGGGCCCGATGGGAATCTCGCAAAAGAGCCACCCCAAAGTCCGTCAATATGCATGTACGCGCATGGATTATCCCCCCCCCCATTCGCCCGCGGGGGCAAGCGCGCGTTGCTTATGCGCCGGCGGCGAAGTGCGCGGAGTAACCCATCGAACTCGCGAAGGGCAAGCCGAGGGAATGGTCGGGGCCCCGCCCTCGTCGGACGCACTCCGCATCGACCGTCGCGAGGCCCGTTCTTGAGGCGCCAGTTCCACCGACGTTTCTTGCGCGACTGGTCCAACGCGTTCGGCATATGAGAAACTGGCGGCTGCCTCCCAGCCGCGAATCTACGATTGTGGCGAAACCTTGAAAGGGGGAGCGTGATCACCTATGGGACTTCCCCATCCAGTGGTTGCCGACAGCTCTTGCCATCACGTTCGCACGCATGCGAAGACAGCAGGCGGGCTGGATCGATGAACCACGCCAGGTCGCTCCAAGGCATGCCATCGAGCAGTAGCATGGACATGTCCTGGACATGCTGTTCACTGTCCACCCCTGTTTTCCGTGGCCCCCGTTGTTCCTGCCATCGCGACCAGCGCCCTTCGGTGCGCCGCGATGGCCTCCCTTGGGGGCGCGGTGGCCCTTCGGGCCCCCTTCGTAGCCCTTGCCGCGGCTGTTCTCCGCGGGGGCGCGCGGCTTGCCATGGCCCTGGCCATTCTTACCCATGCCCCCCAAGTTGGACGAGCCCGCGCCTTTGCCCTTGCCCTTGAGACCCAGGTCTTTGGCGGCGTCGCCCCGAGCTCACGGTGAGCTCGGGGCGCCTCCGTTCCTGGCCTTCGGGCTGCGCTGCGATCGAGCTTGCGGGCTGCTCGTCGGGCCTCGGTAAATACACGATTATGCTTCTTGTGTTTCTGAGACGGCGGGTCCTTGGTCGAGTCCTCGGCGCAGCTCTCTGCTTCGGCGCCAATTCGGCGCGACGCCCAATCCATTGCCAAGCATAGCTGTCACCACCTGCCGGACTGCGCTCGCGAAGCGCTCCGCGGGCGTAGAGGTCTCGAGGGCCTGGACTCGGTTGTTGCGGGCGCCCCTCTTATCATCCTTCTCGCGGCGCGCGGCCTTGACCTCGTCGGCGATAGAGCAGACCGCATCCTCGCGGAGTTCAACAGCCCCCCCCCACGGCAGATCCAGGCTTCCTCGTCGAAGAGGCCCGGCGGCAAGGCCCCGGGAGGTAATTGCGAAGTATGCGCGTGGCCCTGCTGGACCAATGCTGCTTGGGCAACTTCGCTTATGAACGTGTTGGAACTGATCCCACCCTCGACGGTTTCTGCGCCGACATCACATGTAGGTCGAGCTTCTTGTTCCTCATCGCGCACTCCACGAAGAGCTGCTCCCTGACTTTCCCTATGGACAGGTCGCGCTGCACTCCGAACTGCTGCGCGAGGTCTTCCGACGCCAGATCTCCGAGTTCAGAGACTCCCACTTGAATTCTGAAGACATTGATATCCTTGGGCCAGCTGCCGTTGTCGATGATAGGTTTCTGCTCTCTGGTTTTAGATACTTTCTTCGTCGAGTAACGATGCTCCATGATCTTGGACTTGCATTGGTGACAGTGTCTCACGCCTGTGACACCTGTGTCTGGAGCTCCCGCGGGACCATGACTGCCTTCAGGGTGCTTTCGACGACGGCGTCGCGTCGGCGAACAACAGGGCCGGCATCTCGACGGCCCGTTTCCGAGCAGCCTCAGCCTCGGCCCCACTGCTCACCAAAGTTGGCAATGCCAGTGCATCTTGGTCGAGTCTCGAAGAGAGGCTGCTGTAGCGCCGCGCCCACGGCGCCCTTTGGCACTTGACTCGGGCGCGCCATGGCGGCCATCGCATCGCACGGCGTCGCTATGTACGGCGCCCCCTGCTCGCCCTGAGAGAACAACTTGCAGTCTCCGCAGCCCAGTGCTGCAGTGGGCGGGGCGCGGCGAGAACCGCGGGCGCCTCGATCCCGATGGGCCACGGCGGTCAGTGACGCTCAGCGACATTCACGCGCAACGTCTGGGGACCGACAGAAGTTGAAACGCAACGCCAGGGAACCGACGTTAAAAGCAAGTAAGCAAAGGCATCCGGCCTCCCCATCCATCCAACCATGCGCCTGTGCTCCTAGGCCACACTAAAGAATCTGGAGTCTGAAAGCGATCGGCGAGGCCCGCGTCGCCCACGAAGGCTTCATATCTGGAGCGAGCTCCAGATATTCCTCACAGATGCTCCGACCAAGCTGAGAGTCTAGAAAAACACGACAGACCCGAGCGACCCCAGCCCGGGCCCAGATCCCGCGGCAAGGAATTCGGAACCAAACGCGTCAAATTGGACGCCTGGCGCGCCGAGCCTGGCTCAGTCTGCGCCGGGGGGTCCGTTCGTCTAGGTGGCGGAGGCATGTTTCTGGATGGCCGCGCTGTCGCAGCCCCGCGGCACGCGCGCCTCTAGCCTGTCGCCCGACCGCGTCGTCGGACGAGCGTCTCCAGAGGCGCGCCACTTCCGCACAGGGCCAAGAAGCGTGGACCCCCCGGGGGTGCTCCGAGGGAGGGGGGGAAGGGATGTCTAGCGAGATAAACTCCCAGATCGGCTTGTCATCTAGATGTCCGGTTAAATTAAGGCGGTATTCTTAATGCGCGCGCGTGCCTAGCACGTCCACGCCGCGCGATGAGCATGGCAAGTTTACATTTGAAGCATGAGAAATTCTGCACTCGCCACGGGCGCGCGTGGCAATACGGTTCGATGCTCTGCTCGGCCACTGTGACAACGTCGTCCTTGAAACGGGTGCGGAGGGGATAGCCGCGCTAAGACATCCACCTCGCCCTGTCGACCTCCGCGCGCCTCCAGGGTGCAAAAGAGACCCGCGTCAGAGAGCTCCCACGACTAGTTCATTCCCAGTCCAGATCAGATTGTTACCTTCCGAATTCTGCATTGGAGTCACTTGCTCGTCACATGCTAGCGGTTCAGCCAGAGCGATGCCGAGCAGCGCACTGTCGATTTTAAATGCGCCACGGCACCCTTCCCAGCGCTATCCACGAGCACCTCCTCCGCGCCTGACACGAAGAAGTCCTTCGCATCATCTCAAGAGAAGGGCGCCGGGAAAGAACGCGCGCAAATTCTGGAGTTGGACGAGGTCTTCCGTGCTGGACAGAATGCGGGATTTACCATGCAGGCTTTTCCGAAGACTGTGAGAAAGCCAAGCCAATTCCCAAGGCCTGAGAAGGTATGATGCCGCGTTTTATGCAAAATGCGAAACGCGACATCGCCCAATTCTTTATGAGTTTTGATTGCCCCCCCCCGCGTCAGCGATTGTGCTCGGAAGACCGCCCTCCAAGCTCTGCGGTGCCGATGAGGCCTGTGCGCCCACGTCTTTCTCCTGAATGGCTGCCACGACATGCTGGCTTCCCCGGCACATTGACCTCCATATCACGGATAATGGTGATACGTCTTCATGCGCTGCACTCAGAAGCGCCTTTTCGTTTAAATCAACCATCGCGCATGTGAGAACCAACGCGAACCCTCCGCCCTTGCCCGTAAGGCCGGGGGCCCACTGGGAATCTCGCGAAAGTGCCATTCCCAAATCAATCAATTTGCATGTATTTGTATGTTTGTATCCTCCCCAATTGTCTGCGGAGGGCAACGCGTCGCGCTCGTGCGCGCGGCGGCGGAGCGCGCGGAAGAACGCATCAAACTCGCGAGGGGCAAGGCGAGGAAAAGGTCGGAGCTGCGTCCTCGCCGAACGCACTCGGCACCGACCGTCACGGGGCTCGTTCTTGAAGCGCCACTTCCACCGAAGTTTCTTGCACGACTGGTCCAACGCATTCGATATTTCAGAAACTGGTGGCTGCTACCCAGTTGTGAATCTATGTTCGCGGTGAAACCTTGAAAGGAGGAACGCGATCACGCGTGGGACTCCCCCTCCCACTAGGTGCCGAAACCACGTGCTATCATGTTCGCATGTATACGCGGATTGCAGGTGGGCTGGATCGATTAACCACGCCAGGTCGCTCTGAGGCAGGCCATCGAACAATCTCATGAACATGCTGTTCATTTTCCACCCCCCTGTTTTCCGTGGCCTGCGTTGTTCTTGCCTCCGCGACCGGCGCCTTTCGGCGCGCCGCGCTTGCCTCCCTCGGGGGCGCGGCGGGCCCAGGCCCCCTTCGTAGCCCTTGCCGTGGCTGTTCTCCGCGGGGCGCGCGGCTTGTCATGGCAATTGCCATTGTTGCCCTTGCCCTCCGGGGTGGACGAGCCCCTGCCTTTGCCCTTGCCCCTGGGGCCCATGTCTTTGTTGACGTCGCCCCCGGCCCGCGGCGAGCTCGGGGCGCCTCCGTCTTTTGGCCTCGGGGCTGCACTGCGAACGAACTGGCGGGCTGCTTCTTGGGACTTGGTGAGTATACGCGTTTGCTTCTTATGTCGCTGAGGTGGTGGGTCCTTGGTCGAGGGCCTCGACGCAGCTCTCTGCTTCGGCGCCAATTGCGCGCGCTGCCCAGTCCACTGTTCGACCGGGCATAGCTTTCACCACCTGCTGGACTGCGCTCGCGAAGCGCTCCGCGGGCGCAGAGGTCGCGAGGGCCCGGGCCCTGTTGTTGCGGGCGGCCCTTTTCTCCTCCTCCTCACGGCGCGCGGCCTCGACCTGGCCGCGATGGAGCGGACCGCATTCTCGTGGAGTTCCACGGCCTCCCCATTTGCAGATCCTGGCCTCTTCGTCGAAGAGGCCTGGCGGCAAGGCCCCACGAGGTAATTGTAAAGTATTCATGTAGCACTGCAGGACAAATTCTGCTTGGATAACTTCGCCTATGAACTTGTTGAAATTGACAGTGCCCTCGACGGTTTTCGACGCATTTCGACGGTTTTCGACAGTGCCGACGCCATGTGTATGTCGAGCTTTTTGTTCCTTAGCGCGTACTCTACGAAGACCTGCACCTTGACCTTCCCGATGGACAGGACCCGCTGCGCTCCGAACGGCTGCTCGAGGTCTTCCGAAGCCAAATCCAGGAGCTCAGGGGCTTCAACTTGAATTCTGAAAACCTCGATATCGTTGGGCCAGCGGCTGTTGTCGATGGTAAAAATAGGTTCTCTGATGTTATTTACTTTCTTCGTCAAGTCCGGATGATTCATGATCTTGGACTTGTACTTGGTGACGGTGTTTCCCACCTGTGTCTTGAGCTCCACTCGGATCCTGACTATGTTCCGGATGTTTTCGATGATGGCGTCGCGTCGGCGAGCAGCAGGACCAGCATCTTGACGGGCCCGTTTCCGAGCCGCCTCAGCCTCAGCCTCACTGCTCGCCAGTGTTGGTAATGCCAGTGCATCTTGGTGTGGAGTCTCGAAGAGATGCTGCTGTAGTGCCGTACCCACGACGCCCGTTGGTACTTGACTCGGGTGTGCTATCGCGGCCATCGCGTCGCCCTGCGTCAGGGTGCGTAGCTATCCAACTCCGTGGTGGAAGGACTCAGGATCAAGCGCGACGATGCATTTTGCTTTTTGCTCGCTCTGCAAGAACAACTTGCAGTCACAGCAATATGGTGCTGCAGTGGACCTGGGGCGCGGTGGGAGCCACAAGCACCTCGAGCCTAACCGGCGGGCGGTTAGCAACGTTCAGCGACATTCAAACGCAACGTCTGGGGACTGACAGAAGCTGAAACGCAACGCCAGGAGACCGACGCAAAAAGCAAGTAAGCAAAGGCCTCCAGCCTCCCCATCCATCCAACCATGTGCCTGTGCTCCTAGGTTACACTAAAGACTCTGGAATTTGAAAACGTTCGGCGAAGCCCGCATCACCCGCGCAGGCTTGATATCTGGAACGAGCCCCAGATATTCCTCCCAGATGCTCCTAATGAGCCGAAAGTCCCAGAAATCACGACAAACCCGAACGATCCCAGCCCTGGCCCAGATCCCGTGGTAAGGAACTCGGAGCCAAACGATTCGAATTGGACGCCTGGCACGCTGAGCCTGGCTTAGTCTGCGCTGGCCTCGATAGCCAAGGGACGCAGCGTGTCTCCAGCAACCATTGGGGAGCCTGCTGGGAAAGGTCCTCGGGTCACAAGGCACGCGCCTTGTCTCCAGCCCCGCCCTCTGCCTTGTCAACGACGATATGGCGGCTTCCTGGGAAAGGTCCTTGGGCGGCAAGGCGACATACACGTCCCGAGTACCCTCCTCAGCCCCGGCCTGGACTTCTTGAAGGCGTCCAGCTGCCTTGGCATGAACTCCTTGAGGACCTGCTCACGGTCACAGTGAGGAAGGGCTCGCACGAAGTCGAGCTGCGGGCACTGGTAGAGAATGTCTTCGAGCTTCGAGACGGCGTTTTGCACTGCGGAGGCGTTATGCAGTAGAAGATCTCCATCGTCAACTCCATCAGCAGCTGCAGGCAATTGCACTCCGTCAGAAGCTCCATGGTATTATACGCGATCCGCGAATCCAGACTGAGGCTCCTCTTCAGCAGCTCCAGGCGGAGGAGCTCCATCAGCAGCATCGGGTCCAGGCCGCTGGAAGTGAGGCTCATCACAAGGTTGACTCCCATCATAGTCTCGCGCAGGCTCGGCATCTTCGACAGCATGTCTGCAGCTATCTGGGCAAGGGGGCGGTCTCTGCGTGGGCACTGCTCGGAGTCGACGTCGCACTGCTCCGCATAGGGGCCAGCGGGCGGTGCCAGCCAGGTGCACTCCAGGACCGGCGGCCCACCGGCTCCAAAAAGAGCGTTCCCGGGCGGCAGCTGGCCTCCTGGAGCGTCCGCGCACGAGTGGCGCGCGTGACCCCGGCGCGGCGGCAGGAGCTGCGCGAGGACGGCGGCGTCGCGCGAGCCGCACTCCCGAGGACGGCACACCGCAGCACCATCGTGTGCTCCTGATGTAGATGGTCTTGGCTGGCGGGCATGGCAGCTGGAGCTGCCACTGATGCTTTCAGAACCGATGTGGCTACTGGGGCCAAATCTGCTACTGAGAAGGAGGAGGAGCATCCTGAACTCCTCGGGCCGCCCGCCGCCGCAGCCCGCAGCGAGGCCCGCGCTGAGACTGAGGGGAGGCGGAAGAGGAAGAGGGGAGGAGGGCAGAGAGCCCTCACACCAGCACGACCGTGAGGTCCGTGAGCCAGCACCACAGGCCGACGAGGAGCAGGGAGGTAGAGGAGGAGGAGGAGGAGGAGGAGGAGGAGGAGGAGGAGGAGGAAGAGATGGAGAGGAGGGAGTAGGAAGAGGCAGGGTGGAGGAGGTCTCCCGAATCCTCCCGGCGCATGGGCTCACGCTCCAGGAGCTGCCGCTCGAAGCTCGACCGCCAGGACCTCGAGCGCGACTCCCACTCCGCGCGGAGGTCCTCCTGCTGGAAGGACCACTGCTGCTCGTCGTCCTCGATGTCGTGCTGCAGCGCCTCGTTCTGCTCCAGGGCCTCGTCCCGCCTCTGCTCCCAGAAGCGAAACTCCCGCTCGGCGTCCCCGATGGAGCTCTGCAGCCGCAGGCTCTCCTCCTCCAGCTGCGCGGCGCCGCCCTCCTGGCGCGGAGGGCCCCGGGCCAGCACACGCCCGCCCGTGTGCACCTGCCGACGCTCGCCGTCCGATCACCACGGGGGGGACTGGAGGGGAAGAGAAGGGGGACCAGGAGTAGACAAACGAGAAGAAAATTATCCCAGAGCGACCCTACCTAGGAGTTGGAGCCCCGAGGAGAGCAATATTAGTAGTAACGGTAAACGCCGTCCTCCTCCTCCTCCTCCTCCTCCTCCTCCTCCTCCTCCTCCTCCTCCTCCTCCTCCTCCTCCTCCTCCTCCTCATCGTCGCAGTTGTAGCTGTAGCGTAGTAGTAGTAGTAGTAGTAGTAGTAGTAGTAGTAGTAGTAGTAGTAGTAGTAGTAGTAGTAGTAGTAGTAGTAGTAGTAGTAGTAGTAGTAGTAGTAGTAGTAGTAGTAGTAGTAGTAGTAGTAGTAGTAGTAGTAGTAGTAGTAGTAGTAGTAGTAGTAGTAGTAGTAGTAGTAGTAGTAGTAGTAGTAGTAGTAGTAGTAGTAGTAGTAGTAGTAGTAGTAGTGTAGTAGTAGTAGTAGTAGTAGCAGTAGTAGTAGTAGTAGTAGTAGTAGTAGTAGTGGTAGTGGTAGTAGTAGTAGTAGTAGTAGTAGTAGAGTAGTAGAGTAGTAGTAGTAGTAGTAGTAGTAGTAGTTGTTGTTGTTGTTGTAGTAGTTGTTGTAGTAGTAGTAGTAGTAATAATAATAATACAGTTAGCCACCTACATCTACATGTAGACCTACATCCACATCTACACCTACAGCTACATCTACATGTACACATTCATATACATCTACATTTACATCTACATCTACAACTACATTCACATCTACATCTACATCGACACCTGCATCCGCACCTATATGTGCATCTACATCGACATCTATACCTACATCCACATCTACACCTACACCTACATCTAAATATGCATATACACTTTCGCATTGGTTTTGTTTTTTGCTTTGCATTGGTTTTGCTATTGCTCTTGCCTTTGCTTTTGCGTTTGCCTTGTTGTTGTGTTTGCTGTTGCTGTTGCTTTTGCTTTGCTTCTGCTTTTGCTTTTGCTTGGTTTTGCTCCTGCTTTGCCTTCGCACGAACACACACACACACACACAAACACACGCATGTTTCTGCATTCGCTCACCGGGTGTGCTTGAGAATGCTCCGGATCCGGCCTACACTCCACGACTTGGCATTGAGCAAGGTTGTGCAACACTTGCTACACCGAACGTTCCTACGAAACTGGACAGCAGCAGCAACTCCCAGATCGGTGCAACAAGCTGTTCAGCATTGTTTCGGTGGGCCTCATCGGCGCATGAGCAAGTAGAAGGGTCGTTGGAACGCGGTGATCTGGTACTTCGTGCACAAGTGCTGCAGCGTTCTGCTTGGCCCAGTCCTCTTGCTATGCTATGCTATGCTAGGGTATGCTCCGCTATCGAGGCTAGCTCGGCGCCTGTCGCACATTGCTTTTGCTTTGCCTTTCCTTTGCTTTGCTTTTGTGTTTGCTTTGCTTTGCTTTGCGTTGCTTGTGCTTTGGTTTGCTGTTGCTGCTGTTGTTTTGCCTTTTCTTTGATGCTATGCTATGCTATGCTATGCTATGCTATGCCTTTGCTATGTTATACCGTTGCTATGCTATGCTGCGCTATGCTATGCTATGCTGCGCTATGCTGCGCTATGCTGCCCTATTATATGCTATACTATGCTATGCTAGGGTATGCTAGGCTGCGCTATGCTATGTTATGATATGAGATGATATACTATGATATGGTATGCTGCGCTATGCTATGCTATGCTATGGTTTGCTGATCTATGATATGCTATGATAGGCTATGATGTGATATGATATCATGCGCTATGTTATGATATGGTATGATATGCTGTGCTGCGCTATGCTATGCTATGCTATGATATGCTGCGCTATGCTATGCTATGTTATACTACGTTGCGCTATGATATGATATGATATGCTATGCTATGTTAGGCTGCGCTGCGCGATGCTAAGCTAAGCTATGATATGCTATGTTATGCTATGATATGCGATGCTGCTCTATGCTATGCTAGGATATAATATCATATGCTATGCTATGCTGCGCTATGATATGCTGCGCTAGGCTATGCTGCGCTATGCTATGCTATGCTATGCTATGCTATGATATGCAAATGCTGCGCTGCGCTAAGCTAAGCTAAGCTGGGCTAAGCTAAGCTAAGCTAAGCTAGACTAGGTTAAGCTAAGCTAAGCTAAGCTAAGCTAAGCTAGGCGAGGCTAAGCTAAGCTAAGCTAAGTTAAGCTAGGCTAAGCTAAGACGAGATAAGCGAAGGTAAGCTAAGGGGACGCAACTGGGGGAACCGCGGGGCGGGTACTGGGGGAACCGCCCAGGGCGAGGAACACTGCCCGGCCCCTTTAAGCCCAGCGAGTAAGAACCCTCTAGGCAGAGCCTAGGTAGGGAATGAGGACCGAGGGGAAGAAAAGGAGGACTGAGGGGACTGAGGGGAAGAAAATGGGGACTGAGGGGGAGAAAATGAGGACTGAGGGGAAGAGAATGGGGACAGCGGCACAAACATGAGCTGTTGGAGCTGACGCGCTCCGCGCGCCAGGGAGAGGGGGGCCCAGCGCCGGTTCAAGGAATCCGCGCGGAGCTCCAAAAGCTTATTTGCATGCCTTTTTGGGTTGCCTTCGAGGGGCCAAAAGTGAACGCGGAAACGTCTTGCCGATCTTGGTCACGGTCCATCTTGGTCACCATCAATTCGTGGATCGTCCTCGCGAAGCGGCGACGGCTGGCATGGACCATGACCAAGGTCGGAGTCGACAAGATCCCGTGATATCTTGGTCATGGTCAATGCATGTCTTCCCTCGCAGGACCCAGATGGCACCAGGCCAATAAGCAGAGCAGCACAGCTGATTTGCGCGCTTCGAAGGATAATGAACCAAGAACTCCGGCCGATTGGCCAAGCTTCAGGTTTTCGGACCCGTCAGCCCTTGGGGATGTGGCGGGGGAATTGAAGGGGAAGTGGTGCGCGGCCCAGAGCTCCGAGGCCGCGTATTTGTTCAAAAAGTGGACCTCCCTCCGGAGATCTGGACCCCTTCCCCAGGACCAGTTTCTCGTCCCGAGCCGTTCTTTGACCACGCCAAGGCCTGGCGAGGGCCCCCGGAGAGCAAAAATTGCAAACAAACCCTTCCGTCGCGATCCCTTCGCAACAAGACGAGGGGGGGTTGGGGGCTGCTGGCCCAGCCCTCTCTCCTGGTGCGCTCTGACCAGAATTTCGAGGAGAATCAAACCGTGGCGCGAGGTCGGGCGCGGCCCAACCGACCCCTAGCAAACCATCCCCATCCGTGACGTCCCCATCGCCTCTCAAGCCTCCCATCGGCCGCATGCATACGTTTTGGGGCGACGCGAGAGGGGGACGTCACGGAGGGGGATGGCCTGCTGGGGGTCGGGCAGGGCGCCCCTGACGAGGGCCCTCCAGGACGAGCAGCGGAATCGGTACCGTTTGAAATCCTGTTTCTGATGGGACTGTTTTCCACCACCACCACCATAAGTTGGAGGGGGGAAGGAGGAGGACGAGGAGGAGGAAGGAGGAGGAGGAGGAGGAGGAGGACCCCCTCCTCCTCCAACTTATGGTGGTGGTAGTGGAAAACAGGCCCATCAGCTTCCTTTTCTCGGCGACAGCCCAGGTTATCCGGTCGTGGGGGAGGTGCCCGCCGACGCCCCAAAAACTCTGCGCTCTGGCAGCCCCCCGCGCCGGCCCGTGCGGCACCGGCGGTGCGCACCCCCCCTGTGAGTCGGACCTGCGCAGCAGTCAAAGGTGAGGTTATTTTCGGGGGGAGGGGGGGGGGGACAGGCGGACTACCTACCAGACCACCCCAACCCAACCCGAAGACCCGGATTTCGGGTTGGGGGGGGTATGGGTTCCATACGTGTTTTTCCAGTGTTCCCGGGCCCCCCGCCCCCACTAGAAATCGAGGGTAAATCTGAGCCTTCGGGTTGGGTTGGGGTGGTTTGGTGGGTGGTGACAGGCGGGCTGGCCCAGTCGCCCGGTCTGCCGCCGCGGAAAAAGCTGTCCCTGCCCCCCTGTGGTAGGGGCCTCATACTCGGGAGCGTCCAAGAGGGGGGTGTCCAAGAGGGGGGGGGTGCAATTCATGACCGGCGGCATGTGCGCGGCCCAGCGGGGGGGCCTGGGACGTAATAGAATAAAAAGAGGCGCCAGGAAATCTGAGGAAAAATCATGGCCCCCGCCATGATATCCACCCCCCCCTAGTCATCACCCCCCTCTTTTCCGCTCCCGACCTACATGAGGTCCAAGTAGATGGGTCGGAGGATCGCGCCGCATCGGCGAAACATCGGCGATGCAACGGCGATGCATGGGCGATGCATCGTTACCGTCGGCGATGCATCCGCGCCATCGGCGTGGAGAAAATCAGGCTCCACGTCGGGCCGCGTCACCGATGCATCGGCGATGCGGCGCGCTCCTTCGGCACCACTTGTCGGGCCGGGCGTAAGGGGGGGATAGCAAAGGGGGGGCTTGAGAATCAGCTCACGTAGCTGATTTTCCCGGCGCCTCCCAGCGCCGGAGGCGGCCATGTATCGAGGAATGGGCCCCTCGGTGGGGCCGAAACCAGCTGCATGCAGCAGCTTTCGTAACCCCCCCTTTCCCTATCCCTCCCTTTCGCTCGGCCCGAACCTGCTCGGACCCGTCTGGGAGGCCTAGAAGCTCCCTCCTCGAAGTCCTGGCCCGCACCCGCAGCGCGGCCCATGGCAGCCCGGGCGGCCGCCGGGGAGGAGGGGCTCCTAGTGAGGGGGAAGCAACAGAAACATAAACTTTCGAGGGTCCGCGCGGATGCCTTGGATCTGCGCCCGGGCGCGCGGAGCGCGCCCATGGCGCCGCGGGGGGGGCCCAGCGCAGCTCCAAGAAAAATCCACGCGGAGCCTCGAGAATTGTTGTGTTGGTACAGGTTTCTACTGGCCATGGCTCGGGCGTCCATTCCCTGTGCTTTTTGCGGTTTCGTGCGCGGTTTTTTTTCGCAGGATTCGAAAGCGAGCCCCTGGTGGCCCCTCGTCCGAGCGATACCATGTTTATGCTTCGGAAAGCATGGGCGGCAGATGGGCGGCAGCCTCGCCATCGCTCGGACGTCCATCCCGCGTGCATCTGTCGGCTTCGTGCGTGCTGTTTTTTTGCTCGATGGTCCAGGATGGTCCTCGATGGTCCTCGCCGAGAAAAAATGGACGACCCACCAGACCACCCCAACCCAACCCGAAGACCCCAATTTCGGCTTGGGGGGGTACGGGTTCCATATGTGTTTTTTCGACGTTCCCCGGACCCCCCCCCCACTGGAAATGGAGGGCAAGTTGAGGCCTTCGGGTTGGGTTGGGGTGGTCTGGTGGGTGGTGAGGATGGTCCTCGATGGTCCTCACCGAGAAAAAATGCTAAAATAGGGCTAGGATCGGGATAAATCGCTCCAGAGCGTTCCGGAGCGCTCTCAGAGCCTTCCGGAACGCTCTGGGGCGGCCGCGGCGCCCGATACATCCTGCAAGCCCGCCGATTCTCAGAGAGTTCGACTGATCCCGATCCGATTTTGTCCCGATCTTCGCGTCGTTTGAAGTGCACACGTCCGAGCGATGCCACGGCAGCTGGGGCGCACGGGCTCCTCCGAGGGCTCGGCGACGACGCCGACTCGGAGTCGCTGCTGAAGAGGCCCGCGCCGGAGCGCGCCGCCCCCGCGCCGGCCGCTGCCCCGCCGGGGGCGGCCCTGGTCGGGGGGGCGCGCAGGCTCCGAGGCCTCCCACAGAAGACGACGCCAGGCCGAGGGCGAAATCGGGGGAGGAGAACAGAGCGAGAACCTCTGAGCTCCAGCGGCTCTGGAGGACGTCTCGGGCGCCGCGGCCTCCTCGGAGAGCTCCGAACGCTCTGAGAGCGTTCCGGAACGCTCTGGAACGGATTGTTATCCTCGTCCTAGCCCCGTCCGACCACATGTAGGCGATCGACATGTACTCCTTTGAATATGTGCATCGTTTGGCTCTGTCAGATATACATAAAAATGCCAGTGGTACAGTAGCGTTTGGATCCTGAGCCAGGGGCTAGAGTGCGCTTACAACCGAGACCGCACACCCAGCTCGGAAAGTAAGAGGCGAGCCTACATTTTGCCTTAACACGAAATACAGGACAGTTCAGCATCGCTGGAAGCATTATATCATCATCATCATCATCATCATCATCATCATCATCATCGTCATCATCATCATCATCATCATCATCATCATCATCATCATCATCATCATCATCATCATCATCATCATCGTCATCGTCATCGTCATCATCATCATCATCATCATCATCATCATCATCATCATCATCATCATCATCATCATCATCATCGTGAGCATCATCAGCAGCAGCAGCATCGTCGTCATCGTCATCATCGTCATCATCAGCATCATTATCACCATAATCATCATCAGCAGCAGCAGCAACACCATCATCAGCAGCACAAGCATCATCATAATCAGCATCATCATCAACGTCATCAGCACCATCATCATCAACAGCATCATCAGCATCAGCATCAGAATCATCATCAGCAGCATCATCACCATCATCATCATCAGCAGCAGTGCCACCATGATCATCATCATCATCATCATCATCATCATCAGCAGCATCATCATCGTCATCATCATCAGCTGCATCATCAGCATCAGCATCAGCATCAGCATCATCATCAGCGTCATCATCAGCATCAGCATCATCAGCATCATCAGCATCATCAGCATCGTCCTCATCCTCCGCATCATCAGCATCATTATCGTCGTCGCCGTCTCATGATCATCATCCTCTGCATGACCAGCATCAGCAGCATCATCATCATGATCAGCATCACCATCGGCAGCATCATCATCAGCAGCATCAACATCGTCAGCATCATCAGCATCATCACCATCGTCACCGTCTCATCATCAGCAGCAGCATCAGCATCATCAGCATCATCATCAGCAGCATCAGCATCATCATCATCGTCGTCGTCGTCCCATCGTCATCAGCTTTCAAGCACCATCATCATAATCAGCATCGTCATCGTAATCATCAGCAGCATCATCGTCGTCGTCTCATCACCATCATCAGAGTCATCATCTTCATCACCATCATCATCATCAGCAGCACAATCATCATCAGCAACATCATCATCACCATCATCATCAGCATCATAACCATCATCAAAATCATCATCATCAGCAGCAGCAGCATCAGCATCATCATCAGCATCATCAGCATCATCAGCATCATCATCAAAAGCAGCATCATCAACATCATCAGCATCAGCATCATCCTCATGATTGCCCCTGCTCACGTTCCGGCCCCCACCAGCGGCCCCAGAGCGGAGATGTGGATAGAACTCTGGCATCTGAAGCCACATTGTTGTATCCCGGCCCTACTGCACCTGACGCCCAGAGTGGGGGGCAGCAGCACCGAGGCCAGGCCAGCAACTTGGAGGCCTCCCAAATTGGGTCCGAGCACCTAGAACGTATCGAGTCATGAAAAAAACGCGAGGGGGATACAAATGTTCGGCCTCTGGGGGCCCTCGCCAGGCCTCGGGACCGCCAAAAAACGACTCGGGATGAAAAACCGGTCCAGGGGAATCGGTCCAGACCTCCAGGGGTCCACGTCGTAAACAATTCATGACGTCGGGGGTCTGGGATAGGCTCCGAAAAGATGGGGTTGCAGGGGGCCGTCAACTCAGAGCTTAGAGAACTAACAAATGAGCGACGAATGCAAAAAACTAGTCTTATACGAGATGACACAGCGACCTGAGGCGGCGGTTTACGCGGGCCGCCAGCGTGGTACGCCGCAGTAAATACGATTGCGATTACGCGCGGCCTTACGCGGGCAGCTGACAAGCCAATGTCTGTGAAGACGACACCGTTTTTCTGGGCGTCGCTCAACTGGGATCGCGTCACATCGCCGACGCATCGCAAACTCCTCGCCGATGCATCACGCACCACAACAGCTGCGTGCAACGCAGCGCTGGCGCACACCACAGCACCCGCGTGCACAACAAAGCCCGTGTGCGCCGCCGATGTGTGCACCGCGACAGCCGCCGCGCCGCGCACGGGGGGGGGGGCTTTGCGCCACCGCCCGCCGTGCCCGCCGTACGATCGCTACCGTTGCGAGTGGCGGGGCGGACCCCCCCGTGACAAGCGTTACGGGGTGGGCGAGAACAAAAACCTGGCCATCGCTCGGACGTCCATTCCCCGTGCTTTTTGTCGGTTTCGTGCGTGGTTTTTGTCCCCAGATGATCAAGGATGCTCCTCAATGGTCCTCGCCGAAGGAAGAATGCACACGTCCGAGCGATGCCAAGAAACAATCTCATGCCTGGGACCGCTGGCCGCTCCGGCGAAGGGCCACGCACAAACGCGCAGTCGGGCTCCCTGACACCCGACGGTCTGAGTCTTCGGGTCCGCGGCCAAGGTCCCAACACCTTCCTCTTGGGTCAAATGTTTTGCCCTGGATTCGTTTTTGATGGCTCCATGGCGCGAAGACGGGCGCCAGAGGCCGAAATCCAAAAGAAACTCCCTATTCGGGAGGCCTGGAGCCACTGGTCACTCCGGCGAAGGGCCACTTCCTAAGATCTAACGATGAACAAAAGTCGCACCACCAGAAAAGAAAACACCACCTCATCCCCAGACCACATCGTCCTGCGGCACTTCTCGAGCCGCATCGATCTGTGCTGGTCATGGGCCCAGAACTGGGCGAAAATGCCTGGTGAGAAAAACGAAAACAGACGCGTGGGCTCAATTCATACCGTCGGAGATCTGGGTCCCCAGGCCCCCGACGTCATGATTTTCTCATGACGTCGACCCCCAAATGTCTCGTCGTGACTTGTTCACGACCCGAGAGGGTCTGGGATCTCAGCAGGTGCGCGAGGGGCCTTCTGCAGGTCGACGCGGAATTCTTAGCTCTGCCCCTCCCCGCGCGGAGAGTGCCAGCGGCGGCGCCGGAGGGGCCGCCAAGGGACAGGCCAGCGCCGATACAAGAAATCCGCGCGAAGCTCCGAGAAATTATGTTTATACAGTTTTTTCCTCATCAACTCAACGCCTGGTGAGCAAACAAAATGCAACGACCAGATTTCGGCAGATGCCTGGGCTGAAGTCAGATCGTCGGATCGGAGGCGGCCAGGGGGTCTGAACTCGTGGGGACCACAGAAGAACAAGTCAGGAGAGGGAGATGAATCAAACTTTGCTCAAATCTAGTCCTTGGATCGGCGACTCCAGAGGGTGTGGTTTGCAAAGGGTGTGGTTTGCAACCGGCACCCTGGGGAACATCCTGGGGGTCACCCTGGGGGGCGCGCGGGGACCTCGATAGAATTCTCCCGCGCCCCGAGGAGGCCCGACGTGGACAGTGTCGTGCCCCCCAGGCCCCAACGGTGCCGATCGCAAACCACACCCCGGCGTAACCACACCCTTTGTAGTCGCCGATTGGACCCCTCCCGGAGTCCATCTGGTGCACTTTTTCACCCCGGCTCCGTTTCCGACGGCCCCGGGGCCCGAGACCGGCCCCGGAACGCAGCGAGGAGGCACAAGAAAATCAATTGACCCTGGCACCTCCAACCTTGAAGGGGCCCCAGGACACACAAATAAGTACACACTAATAAAAAGAGTCCCCACATTTTCCCATATTTTCTGGGTTTCTGTCTTTCCCCCCACTTCCCATATTTTCCCATATGTTCTGGGGAATCGAGGATTAATTGTGTCTGTGTGTTTCTTTTCCTCCTGAAACCTGCACCCCCGTCTTGCTGCTGGTCGGAACCAGTGCTTGGCCACCTCAGACCACCAGCTGGCTCCAAGCCCGGTGGGGGAACAGAGACAGCGCCAGAATCTCAGGAGATGTTCGGGCTAAGAATCAAACGTCGGAGATCTGCAGGACGAGAAAGATGTCATGCTAGGGCTGATTCAGGATACGGTCCAGGATCTCCCGGAGTATCTAGCGGCCCTCGTTTCTGCGGCTCGTGTGGAGCGTTGGGCAATCCTGGCAATCCTGGAAGCCTTGAAAATCCTGGAACGTATCATTGTCATGACCTCGTGCTCCGCTGATCCTAGCCAGCCTCGAGGGTACCTCTACCCCTGGGGGCGACAAGCCGCAAGGAGACGACAGTACCAGGGATGTGCCCTCGAACACTGCGGCGATCCTCGAGATCGGCATCGAGACCAGGCGATGCCAATCATAGGGCGACGATATCTATACATATCCACTGCTCCCGGCCAGGCCAATCCTGGGCCCAAGAGCTGTGTATACGCCCTCCTGGCTTGGCCAGGGAGGCATATACACCGCTCCTGGGCCCAGGATGGGCCTGGCCAGGAGCAGTGGATATGCATAGATCTCGTCGCCCTAAATCACAGGGCCACGTGTGCTCCAGGCTGGCAAGCATCGGGATCTTGCGCGCAGCTCGAGCCGCTAGCACCCCGGGGGCCTCCGCGGGCCGGCGGCCCCGCGCGGCGCCTCGCCGCCCGCCTGGCAGGACTGCGCTGGGCATCGACCCGCGGCATCGGATACCCAGACACGCTCGGGCGCGGCCGAACCGATCCCCAGCAGCCTCCTCCTCCTCCTCCTCCTCCTCCTCCTCCTCCTCCTCCCTCCTCCTCCTCCTCGCCTCCTCCTCCTCCTCCTCCTCCTCCTCCTCCTCCGCCTCCTCCTCCTCCTCCCTCCTCCTCCTCTCCTCCTCCTCCTCCTCCTCCTCCTCCTCCTCCTCCTCCATCGCT